TGCACAAAGTGCGTTGAATTAATAAGTTGATATTTTTTTTGCGAAGAAATTCGAAAAATCTGAATGATTTTTCGAATTTTTTTCCCAAAAAAAGTGCTATGTGCCCTCTAGGGTGGAGTGATTTTGGAATCAGAAATATAGTAACCTTGGAGTAAACAGATTATCAAAAAATAATAATAATATTAGCACGACTATTAAATGCATGTGTATGTATATTACATGTATACATTTACAAATTAATTGAAATTGGGAGCATTAACAACAATTCACGGTATAAAATTTGTTTAAAATGCACATCCTAACTATTCTGACAGAAAAAGGCAGGCAAGGGCCCCTATTTTCTTACAAAATTTGCAATTATAGCTACGCCAGCCAATATCCAAGTCCACCTTTAAAATTTTTTAGCGATGGTGGTAGTCTAATGTGACAGTTAACAGAGAATTCCAGTTTTTTTACAACAGCATTTGTAAAAAAGTTATGTCTTTTATCAAGTTTCAAAAAAATTTCGGCTTCTTATTCAAATTATTCGGCTTGTTCCAAGACTTTACTTAGATCCTCAATAAACTGGTCCAATTTATGACGTTACAAAATTGATCCAATCATTTCTATTAATTATTTTGTACTAATTGTATAAATTCACTACGCTGTTTAAGGTCACTACGCACACGGCGAGTTTGAAGGGTAATCGTGTTAAGGGTGAAAGCGAAGGGTAGTTTGAACTAAGACTTGTTTGTCGTATACTAGGTGACTAGTGTCTTAACCCAATTTTGCGGTTCGATACTGAACTCTTTTAATTGTATTTATAAATCCTCTGGAATAATAAGTCTGGACAAGTATAGTCACTAATATGTTAAGGCGTGATATATATAGTAAATATTACGCCGTAAACTCCAAATTGAGAGTTCAAAATAGATTATATTTTATGTTGTACATTTTGACATTTTATACTTAGTTAGTATTAAATTTTTAACTTCTTTAAAATTATATTTGATCCATCTTTATATGGTCGCAATTACTGTGTATACTGTGCAACTAATTGATTTTTAACTCTAAGTTTGTAATACTTTTTTTTTTACATGGGTCAAGGCGATAGGTACCGCTTGCTGGTTCTATATTTTGTAAACCTATAAGATTTAGAGAATGAGTTATTCAAATAAAGTAGTAATGATTAAAAGGTACTCATACATCCAATTTTGGCATCCCTAATGCAATCAACTTTTGGCTAGAGTAGTTTTTAAAATTCTAAAATAAAATATCTCTTTATAAACTCATTCAGATTTCAAGAAATGTATAACACGCGCAGCTGCAGAGAAAACTCAAGAAAAATGTGTAATAATTATATTCTGGTTAGCAAAACTTTTTTTAGATATCATTTTCATCATCGCCTTGGATATGATTATCTTCACCAACTCGAAACAGAAGAGAAACTTGGTTAAACTTACATAATACCGTTTATACTGATTAGCTTTGATATCTTGACATAAAAATTTAATTTGCACACCCATTTTAACTTCTTTTAAAATGGATGTAAGAAAAGGAAATGAAAAATAATTTTTTCTTTACTTTACCTATTGATGCCTTATATATTTTACAATATCTATCGATTATTGTTCCTTTACGTTTATTTACCATAAGATGCTCAAACCCTAAGCACCTTAGGGTAAACAAACGTAAAGGAACAATAATCGACGGGTATTGTAAAATATATAAGGTATCGATAGATAAAGTAAAAAAAATAATTTATTCTTATTTCATACAGGGAGTTTTTTTTTTTTTTTCTTTTTGATTAGAGTATTTACAAGTTCCGTGTTTTATAATATATATAAAAATGGCAAGGACGAGAAGAAGACAGGTTTGGCTTATCACCAAGTCCCTTGTTTTTTCAAGATATTTATATAAATACGTTGTAACTAATATTAAAAATTAAAAATAAGGAAAAAAGCAAAATGTTTCAAAGAAGTTTATACAAAATGCAAAACAGTTTAATAGAGTCTTTCAAAGTTATTTTTAATGTTTAAAAAATATTTTTAATTAATTAAAAAGTTTTCAATAACATGAAGGTTTAACTATGGTAATGCAATGCTATTTATATTCAAATTTCAAAGTTATTCATTGAAAGAAAATTTAATAATTCATTCAAGAAAACAAAAATCAACAGCAACAACAACAAAAAAAGAAAACTTGAAAAATGAAAACATAATGTTAATTTACAATCAAAAGATATATATACACATACACATACACATGTATGTATGTATGTATACATATACACACTTGCGCACGCATACATATACACATACATACACATTCGTACATAAATGCTGTAAATCCATAATTACTTTTTCATAATATAATTGACAGTAATGTATATATAATTAAAGACTTTCGTTCTTTCCAGACAAGTAAAGTATGCACTAATAGATAATTTTCAAATATAATATTTTTAAAGATAGATTTAAAAATAATTCTCTGTTTGATTGTTATTTAAAAGCAACAGTTTTAGCTTTTGTTTAAACTGCTCAAGAGTTGTAAATGTTTTAATATCATTACTAATTAACTTATTCCATACATTAGGTCCTCTAATAGTTATTGAGAGCTTGGTGGACTCATATATAGTTTTGGGTTGAACAAAGTTGTTATTTGAATATTTAATCATGTATTTGTGTTGAATTTTATTAAATAATGGTTTGAAGATATTTGATATTGTATTATTAATAGTTTTATACATAAAAATTAGCAGATGATATATATTTAATTTGTACAAATTTAATATTTCTAGATTGTTGAACAATGGTCTAGAATGTGAGAGGCGGTGTGCATTTGATAATAATCTGATTGCATGTTTTTGTTTGCTAAATAGCTTTTTTGTCTTAGTTTTATTGATGCTGCACCAAGCAATGTTTGCATAATTAAGATAGGAATGAATAAATGAGTAATATATGTATTTCAAACATGATTGATCTAAGTATGGTTTTGCTTTATAGAGTAATCCGATAATTTTAGAAATTTTATTTTCAATCATGTTTATGTGATCTTTCCAATTTATGTTTTCATCTATTATTACACCTAGAAACTTCATTGAACATTCTCTTTTTACATTGTATTCTCCAATCATAAGTTTTGGAAGTGCAATAGGGATTTTATCTTTTTTTTGGAGGCGATGAAAGATAATATATTTGGTTTTAGTTTTTAAATTAAGTTTTGGGGGGAAAATAAAAGGAAGTGGGGATTTTATCCCAGATCTAATAAACGGAGTGTGAACAGGCGTAATAAAAGGGTAGATGGGAAAAGTTTTTATTTTTCATCGGTTATTAATATATATATTTTTAAGTTTTTTTAAAGTTTTGAGATGTAACGTTTTTATTGTTAACAAGTATATCAATAAACGGGGGTGAGGGGTCTTAATACGCTTAGGATAGGTGGCAAAATTTTCAAAAGTTAGTAAACACCCCCTCCTTAAATAAAATACCTTAGTTAGCTGCATGAATTACAATGCCAATGTAAAGAGTTGTCAGAATTCTCAAATATATTATTTGGAATGGAAAGGCATGAAACGTGAAACCATTTCTTACAATTGTCGCATTTAACCATTTTTTCTTCTTTATTATCAGGAAGACGTCATATGCAATATAGTGGTAAATTAATTGGTTTAGGTTGTTTTTTCTTTTTTCGTTCATTAGTCTCTAAAGGGAATGGCGTTAAGTAATTGTCACTGAAGCATTTTAACAAATGATCCCGCAAAATTTCTTGCTTATAACATTTTATGCTTGGATCATAATTGTAACATAAATCTGTTGCCACTGCAATTGCAAAAAGACCACAATCAAGCCCACCAGATTGTTTTTTGAAATCTTTGAACTGTAATTTTAAAAAAGGTTCTTTAACCATCATGATTGATCCAACTTGCATCTTTCCACTAACACTTAAGTCATAATATACGGAATCAAAAACATCAACTGAGTTAAGATGTGTACTTAAAAAATTTGAAATGGTAACCCAATGCATTGCACCATTATGTAAACTTTGAACAAACTTTCCAGATTGCACTCTAAAATGAAGTTTTGATCCAAGAATAGGGTCTTGTAATCCTTTTACATCTGGAAACTGCATGGGTAAAAGCTTTTATGCTTTATTTATGTGCAAATCAGATAACATCTCGAATTAGTCCTTAATGGGGAATAGTTGAAGATCTATGACAGAGAGTTGCTTTTTTAATAACTGTTCCTTATGAGCAGTTTTGCCTAAAATTCGCTGACACGATTGATGGTAAAGATCATTATACAAATCCCGCTTCCTTTTGAGCCTTGCTTTTTTAATATTGACATTTCCTCCAACTGGTGGGAATTTAGGTAAGCATACATTTGCTAAATTATTTAAAATATCTATAGCTTGGCCGGTGCAGCATTTAGATTTAGTTATAGGAAAATCTTTGAAGTTTACGCTGTCATTTAGAGAAGATTGATTGGAGATAAAACGCTTCCTTGATTTTCGAAGTTGTTCATTTAAATTTAGACTAGATGGTAAAGCAGAGAACAAAGATTCAGAAAAGTTTGGAGAACTGGACATCTCTGGCAAATCAGACGATTCGGGCAACTCTGACGTTTCTAGCAAATCTGACATTTCAGACATATCTGAGATTTCAGGCAAAGCAGACACTTTGGGCAAATTAGAGATTTTAGGCAATGCTTGCGCTTCCATATCAGAAATTATAACTTTTTTCCCAGCTAACCACAATTTATAAATTAAATTTAAGGAATCAATTTTTTCTTCAAACTCGTTCATTCCGAGAGTGGATAAATAATCCGAAAATGGTTTACATAGATTCATGACAGTTTTAAATTTCTGATTTTTAGAAAATGGCACTTTTATTGACTTTTTTTCAGTTTTATTAATTGAAAAATGAAGAACATTGTTAGCCTGGTTATGCAGACTTTTGGTCTTTTAGCTTAAATTCCATCGCTCTCCTGCATCTTCTGCTTTAAAAATAGCATCACCATTTACTATTTCACTGCCATTGTGTGCCGCCAAGGAAGTTTCATAGTAACCTGCAAAGGACACGAACATACTTTATTTAACACTAACAAATCAGTGCGAGACTTTTTTAACTCTGCAATTACAATTCCAGCAGCATATGGAGTTAGATCATTTACAATATCATCTGTAACTATATCTTCATCAGTACCTAATCTTTTTACATTGTATTCTTTTACAATATCATCTCTAACTATATCTTCATCAGTACCTAATCTATATGGCTCTTTAAAAGATTGATTAAACTCAATATGAGCCATTTGTTCAAATTTACCAGTATGTAACAAAAGGATACCTTTTACTGCCTCTGCTAAGAACATTTTCCCGGACAAAATGTTTTTAATTTTTTGGTTATGGGACTCGGACCTGTTATTTGTTGTATTACCAAGATTAATACACTTGATAGTTTCATAGTATGCCCAATACTTAACTTGGTGTGGCAAGCCCCAATATTTGTTGTAGTATGCCATTACAACTTCTTGTGCAACTGTAGCAAGATGACCCAAATTTATGTCTAACAATTTCTTTGATTTTGCATACACAAGCGATTGAAATATTTTTTTTAGATTATCTTTTTCTATACAGGCTAAACCTTGTTTATTTAAAAATCTATAAAATGCTTGCAAAACATGAAACTTATTTCTTTCAGGTCCTTGTCAAGAATGACAACCTTGTCAAGAATGACAACCTTGTCAAGAATGACAACCTTTACTTGGTAAAGATTTAGTATAAGTTTAATTTCTAAAAACACATCTTGCAGAGTGTTTTCAGTTTCTTGTGCAATGAAAGAATAACCAACAGCCTGACCTGTTCCATTTCCAACCTCCACTAACAGAGTGAATAAAGGCATTCTTAATTTGTTTGTGCAATATGTGCAGTCAATCATTAGCACTTCAGGAAACATATCAAACACCTGCTGCATATCTCCATGAGTTCATCGATCAATAAAGTCTCATTTGATTTTTTCACAATTGCGTTCTAATTCAATTTTTTTTATTTATGTTAAATAAATCTTTCGATGTTACTATTTTTCTTTCTTTATTTTTTAAATATTCTTTTAAAAAACAGACTTGTACACCAAGTTTAAACATTGTGCCAATATCATCCTTCACTATTTCACTTAACCGACGTTGTTCAGGGTAATGCATAAAAGCAGTTCTATGAAGGCATAAATATAAATATAAATTAAATAAAATTAAAAAATAAAAATTACAATAAAAAAATACAAATTAACTCAAAAAGTTAAAAAAAGTACAATTTTTTACAAAATATACTAATAATAAAATATAGTTGTACTAACCTGCTGACTTCATGGTTATAGTTAGTCTGAAGTTGCTGTACTAATAGTTTTTTTTTATCTTTATTAATACTAATATAAAGTTTGGCACTACATCCAATTTTGAAAGAGTTAAAAAAAAAAGTAGTAAAAATCTTCACTTTCTGAAAATTATTGAGTTCTATCAGTGGGTAGTGAACATTATAATGTTCACTATCCACAGAGAAGTGCATGTTGTAGTTAATATGAGACCTTATTCAAGCTCGAATGCCAGCCTCCACAAGCCAGTCAAAAACAAGCAAAAAATGATTAAAATGAAATTTAGCATACAAAAATAAAATATTAAATTTCTTTTGATTTAGAAAATCTTTTAGACAAAAAGAAATTTACTTTCCCTTTGTTCTCTTAACTCCTCCATGCTTGCATAAATATGTTACATTTCTAAATTTAAACTTCTCATCAAAACGTTTTGAATTCTGACTCAAACCCTTGTTAGGCAATGTAACAATTTTGCTGTTACATTTAGTCCACAAAATGTTTGTAAATGCCGACTAAGAGGCCAACTGATTTTCAAATTCAGCAAAGTTATCAAACTCATCTCCTTGTTTAAATTCAATATTCATGACTAATTTGATAAGCTGAAACTAAAAACATAATTTAGGTTTATAATGCAATCATATTTATAGCAAAAATAAATTAAATAAATCAGTTTATTCCAAACAAGCTACCTGATTGAATTCTACCTTTTTAAATAGCACATGCTTACTATATTTATAGTTTATATATAACCGTGGTCGTGCGAATAAGCTTTATTTCGTTATTTGCACGACGGTCGTGCGAACAAGTTTATTTTTGTTATTTGCACGACGGTCGTGCGAATAGACACTTCGAGAAAAATGCCTAAAAGCAAATCAAGGAAAACTCGTTTAGAAAATAGTCTGAAATACGGAGGTCTCCCATTAGAAATGCCTTCAGTTGATCTTCCAACATTTCGTCAAGTAATTCAGTTTTTTTATTTCACTGAAAACAATTACCAAAATATTTCAAAACAAAATTTACTAGAAGAGGTCGAAAATTCTCTGAGTACTTTGTGAAAGTAAACCCACGTCTTCCTCATCTTCAGAGAAATTCAATCTTAAGAAAAATTACAAAATCTTTTTGAAAGAGTAAAATCTATAAACCGAGGACGTTGTAAATCTAAAAGTAAGGAGTATCAAGATTTGATTTTAGATAAACTCTTTGATATTTCATCATGTACTTGCGAATTAGCAACTGTTTTATGTAATGACAGAGATGTTAAGTGTAGCAGCATCAATTGCCAAGTAGAGCACATCTTGTGTCTTTGTAAAACTAGAAAGGTATTTGATTACATTTTTTATATATTATTCAATAAATTTTTTTCTTTTATTGTTAAATGCTTAAGGGTGTTATCGCAAATTACCGATGAGTATCTTTAATCAGGAAGCTCACACCTTTTTCCTTACCAATGTTGCCTATTGTGCTAGGGCCGGCTTCGAATATTAAACCTCCTGTTTATGAACCAGAACTCTAAAGACATCCCATTTCAGTTGGTGTTGTTTTTTCTATAATCTATTTTAAATGAGAGAGTAACTACAAGATTTATATATATATATATATATATATATATATATATATATATATATATATATATATATATATATATATATATATATATATATATATATATATATATATATATATATATATATATATTTTAATTCACCTCCTCAAGGCCGAGAAGGCCACTACAGACGAGGAGGCTACTTATTTGTGGTTATAACCCTCTCTCAACTCTATAACTCCGAAACACGAACCTTGATGAACAAGGCCGCTGCGCGGAGAAGCGAGTTTATGCAAGAAGTGGAAAGATACTAAATTTGTTCAATAAGGGAAATGGTAGGTTTAAAATTTTTAAATCAGTTCTGTGTTAGTATTATTATTACTTTAAAAAAAAAGATTCTAACCTTGCTGGACATATATTAAATCTTGAATTCCTTTTTATTATTAAAATGTTTCTTTACATATATAGTTGATAATTTTACAAAAGTTTTTACTTTAATTTTTATTTAAAATAGGTTTATAACAAGTGTTATATTTACTTTTTAATGTTATTTGGTTTAATAACTTGTTTAAAGGATATGGATACGTTGATTACGGGGGTTGCGAAGGAAATTATAACAAAGGAAACGGATATGGAAACAACTACTACAGTGAAGAATCAAAAAAGTAAATGAAAAAAGATCCCACTTATAATTCATACAGTAAATCATGTTTAAAATATTATTTTAAAATGATCCTTTAATTAAAAATACTATTTTTATGTTTGAGTATACATTTTGAGACTTTGAGTTATTTAACTTTTATAGACTAAGGCTATGGATACGGAGGTTATAGTGGATACGGAGGGTACGGTGGTGGATTAAACAACAAAGGAAACGGAAATGGAAACAGCTACTACAGTGACGAATTAAAAAAGTCTATGAAAGAATATCGTACTTATAATTCATACAGTAAATCATGTTTAAAATATTTATTAGGAGGTTTCTTCAACTAAAAATATTATTACTTTTAAAGACTTTGAATTATTTACTTACATTTAAAGACTTTGAATTATTCATTTTTTATAGACAAAGGCCATGAATACGGTGGATACAAAGGATACGGTGGTGGATTAAACAAAAAAGGGTACGGATACGGAAACAGCTACTACAATGACAATTCTAAAAAGTCTATGAAAGAAGATCCGACTTATAACTCATACAGTAAATCATGTTTAAAGAATTCTTGTAAACTTTTCCCAATTGAATCTTAATCAACAATTTAATTAATTAATTTGAATTTGTTAAATTTTACAGATAATGGGTATGGATATGGTGGATATGGAGGTTATGGTGGATTGTATAATAAAGGTTACGGATACGGAAAGTCTTATTTCAAGGATGAATAAAAATGTATTATTCGATGAGTTATTTTATTAAATTATTGTAAAGGATTATTTTGCAATGGAAAAGATTTCTTTTTTTTTAAATAAGATCTTTTTCATATAAGCTTTTGACTTTTCTCTTTTTAAGCAGGTGGCGATTTAACTTTAATTGGTTTTGTTAAGAACAATTTTATGCAACAAATATAAAAACTGCCATTGAAAGTAATTCTATAACTAATTTATAAAAATAAAAGTTTTTTTTTATTTGCTTTATTATAATTAGTTAGAGCGATTCGTTAAATAAACTTCAATATAAACAATATATCTGCGTGTTCATTTTTAATATAAGTAATAACTGCGTGTTTATTTTTGAACAACAGTAAACTTCCGTTGTTCGAATTGACACTTTTTTGAATGTTCACTTTATTAACACTTTGAAATGCATTATCAACAGCAGGCATGTATAAATACATAGAAATGGTATCATTGGGTTTCTTAACATATATAGGCTGATGCACGTAAGTAAGCTACCATTGGTATATTTGTTTTTAATGGTTTGGCAACAATGGTTGATACTGCTGCTCGCTTGATAGACTTATTTATGCAAGCCTGTGAATAATTATTTGAAAACAATATATGGACGCTTATTTCGATAAACAAAGTTTTTAACAGTTTTATAAGACACAAATTTATAACTTTTCAACCCAGCAACAACTGAACAATTCTTTACATCTATTAATTGTAAATAGTAAACAGAGAAAAATAAATTTAATAAATGTTAACTACTGTCGTATTAGCAGTTAAGCATTTATTAAATTTGCGAAAATAAATACTTTACTTACATAAATGTTTAACTACAGGAACTTTATCAAAATATTTTTTGCCTTTTAACATTCGTAGGTGTAGGTGTAGGTCTTGAGAAGTCTCAGGACTCATATTTAACTGTCTTGGTCTCAGTCTTGGTCTTTAAAATATAAAATATTGGTATTGGTCTTACAAAAAATATCAACACAATTGATGGATTAGTAGTTAATAATAAATCAATGATTTATTAAGGCAACTTTTTTTATTATTAACTACAGCTTACCACTCTCATTAAGATTTGCACTTAGAGAAATGTGTACTCTATTTCTTAGTTTTCTGTTATTATTAAAGACTGTAACAGTGCACTACACAATATACGATGACATAATTATAGTATACTTTTGTGATTACGTTTTATTATAGATGTGTATAAACGGTAAAATAATACATCAAATAAAGGCTTGCCAGTCAGGGGTAGGAAATTAAGTGTAATGGTTTAAAAAAATTAAATTGTTTGTTAAGGGATGCGGAAAAACCCATTCGGGTGCGGAATAAGTCCTTTAAACTTTTGCTGTAGATGTATTTTTGTTACGTTCATTGTTGCTGTATTTCGAGGTCTCGCGCAATGGCCAATACTACTTCTATTCACAATTATTTGCTTACGTCAAATGTTTAAATTAATAGTTATATTCAAGAAAAACCTTTAAAATGATGTACTTTAAAATGATTTTTACGTTGTAAAAAAGCCCAAAAACATTGTAAAAAAACTCAAAAACGAAGTGGAACGGTTGCAAAGAAATATTGAGCGAAGCGGAAGGATTTTTTGATTTGTCGGCTAAGGAGAAAAACCTTTCCCCAGCATTTCCCCCTACTTTAACCCCTGTTTACAGCATACATAAAAGTGTGAGCATTATTGTGTTAGACTTTTAAGAACGTAAGTCTTGGTCTCGGTCTTATGTTAACTTTTTGATGTGTTGGTATTGGTACTGGTTTCGGAATCCTAAGTCTTGGTCTTCGACTTCGTCTTGAGCCCAAATGTCTTGGTTTTAGTTTTGGTCTTGACCTTTACTGTCTTGTCTGGATAGTAAGATTTACAAACTCTCCATTGTGTATTAGAATTAAAGAAGCTATAATAATAGGATGTTTTCTTTATGAATTTTCACCAGCGTTAGCATTTTTTTCTCCATATTTTTGACTGTTTTTGTATCAAAATGTTTTTTACAGGTCCAAAGATTACAGGTCCAAAGATATCAAATATTACTTGACGCTCAATCTTTTATGTATTTGTTGAGCATTTGAATTTACAATTTCTGCAAATTTCTATAGTAATTTACTTTCGTTTTGATTTAGAACAGCCTTCATTTTTTGGTTAATATTTTTAGTTGTTATTTTGAAAACAATAAAAACAATAAAATTGTTCCACACTACTCTTTTTTAAAAGTTAACATTTTAGAACACTTTGTAATTAAAACGTCTGTTTATGATATTTAAACTTATCCATATTAAAAAGTTCTTTTTAATATAAAACTCAATATTTCTAGGGGTTGTATATTCCCTTGTTATTCAAGTAATATATTAAAAAAAACGTTAAAAAAAAACAAATAATGCAATATCTTTATCAGTGCCGGATTAACTTTTAGGCAAATAAGGCACATGCCTTAAGGCCAGCAAAAAATCCAGGCCACAAAAAATTTATACATAAATTTATATTTATGTTTTGTCTTTATTGATGAAATTATTATAATTATTCCAATTATTATACACATTTTGTGCGTATATCAGTTTTCGATGTCAAAAATTGTAACTAATTCATTCTTATAAGTGATAATTTTTTTGTTTTAAAATATCGAGTTAAAATATTTCGATTAAAATATTCGAAAAATATTGTATTTTTTTATATTTTTGAAATTCGATAACATTTGTTTCAAACAGTGGAACTCTTTCATAAACAATAACAAAGCGTAGTAATAAAATTAATGGTTTTAGCAAATGAATATACTTTTACATATAACTATTGTTATAAAATTGTATTCCTTTAAATTTATTAGTAGGTTTAAAGAAGAAAAAAGCATCACATTTACTGCAGAAAGAACTGGGTATAGCTTTTTTGTACAACATGCCATATTTTAAATGTTTCTATCAAAACGAAAATATTTTTATCAATAAATAAAATATGTGACAAAAATATTTGTCACATATTTTATTTATTGTTGATATTAATGTAATAAACATGGTGGCCACAGTCCTGGAATGTCCTGGATTTTTGCAAGTGTCCTGGAATGTCCTGGAAAATTACATTTTTTTAAAAAATGTCCTGAAATGTTCTGGAAATTTTTTTTTTTCTGAGTCAAGTTAAAAAAATACTAATAATATTGAAGTAATATTAAATTTTTTATCCAAAAAATTTTTTTATATAAATGGTTTAAATTTAATTTTAAATAAGAGAGTAATAATAATATAATATTCTATTCTATAATTCAATCAATATGAAAAAAAATATATACCGTAAAAATAATTGATAATATTCATTTAATAAGATATAAAATGTCCTGGAAAACGCAACAAAATGTCCTGGAATGTCCTGGAAATGTCCTGGAATTAAATTTTTAAAATTTTGTGGCCACCATGAATAAAGCTCACTACTATAATATGGATTAGATCCATGTATCTCAACTATACTGAGTGACTTTCATTTTGACTTTCACTATCATACATTATTATCTATATATATATATATATATATATATATATATATATATATATATATATATATATATATATATATATATATATATATATATATATATATATATATATATATATATATATATATAAATATATATATATATATATGATTTTTTATCATTTATATATAAAACAATATGTTTAATCATTATTATATCACATATCCATTTTACATATTCTAATTAATATTATTTTAATTTATAAGTTAGTTCTTGCTATAACATAGAAAACGTATATACACTCTACAAGTAGAACTTCAGTTGTGTGACCTTGGGGTATAAGAAGTAGATCATTAATAAGTCACACAATCAATCCCAGTGAGTAATTTGCGTGAATTTTTGATCACCATGCTCCTGAAATAAACAAAAAAAAAGTCCTTCACTTATAGGAATCTATATTTTTTAATGAATTATGTTGACGCTGTCATCATTATTGTTAGATTTCTATTGTAATTATTATTTTAATTGAACAAAGTATAAATTCTGATCTCAACAGCGTCTTTCTGCACTTTCACTTCTGTGCATTGAAAGTGATTTGCTCAACAAGGTCAACTTCAAAGAACTAATTGAAAAATTTGCAGTTATAAAAGCGCGAAAATTTTAAATAATGTAGTTTTTGCCTAATATATATACTTTTTAAATTTTACTTTTCTTCTTTTTGTGGGAAAGTCCGTACTATCTGTATTTTCAGGCCACTTATTAAAATGTGCCTTAGGGCCAACAAAGCCTTAATCTGGCACTGATCTTTATTTAAACTACTGTCATTTGGAGAACTCTGTTTTCCTTCTCTCCAACTTTTCTTCTAAAATAATCTACATCTACTTTAATTGTAATACTTTCATTTCAACCAAATGCACAATGATAATTTCTTAAATGTTACGGCCGAATTTTTCCGTTTTTCTTCAAAAGTATGTCTTAGATGTTGGCCAAAACGTGTTGAAACATTGAGCATTGTTTCACCACCATACAATTTTCCACATGAACACTCTAGTTTTTAGACTCCAAGATAAGAGTTGCAGACATGTCGAGGTTAGTTTTTTTTTTTTTTAATAATCAGCAGTAAACAAAAATTGCAGTAAACCCTGTATTTTTAAACATCTTTTTTAATTGATTACTTAGTTTTGGTATCCATGGTATCCATGGTATCCATAGTATCCATGGTATCCATGGTAAAAAAGTATAATTAAATTCTAGTCATTTAAAGTTGTTGTTGATGTTTCGTTCATTATTTTGCTTATTATTTTTATTTTTTTGACAATGTTTTAAAGTATTTTTTTATTATGACCATTTTCTACAAACATTTCCTTAAGAAACTCTCATTCATGATTTATATGTATCATTATCTAATGTGTGCTGTTTTCATGTAAAAACATTTTGACAAACACAAATCTTATTTATTTTTATTTTTGAAAACGATAATTTTGAATTAAACACAAGACTGTTACAAAGTCGTTCGAATTGATTATTTAACTGATGTTGAAGGGTAAAAATTAAAAATGTCAAAAGAAATTTG